CCTGCAGACGCCAGGGGCCTGCCCAGCTCTCACCCTACAGCAGGCCAAGCCGGGCGGGGACTCCAGCAGGATCACCACTGACACCCAACAGACGCCCAGGAGTCCCGGGCAGCAGCAGGCCGCCCACCAGCTCTCCATGATCTGCCTGCTGCATTAGCCTGGACTTCAACATAATAAAACTTTCACACCACAGGGCAGCCGCATATTTTCAAGGCACACAGTAGGTACGTGTGCTTCATGGCACACAGTAGGTACGTGTGTTTCATGGCACACAGTAGGTATGTGCTTTTCTCATCACGCAGTAAGGGTGTTCCACGGCACACAGTAGATCCGTCTTTCTCAGAGAGCACTGGGGGACTGGTGGGTTTCTCACAGAATCACACAGGATTTGCAGGCCTTGTGCCAACTATGGGGCCGGCTTGCCAGGCCCCACAGCTTCAAGCCACGCCCCTTTGGAGGAAGATGACCCCAGGCCCTTTATCCCACTGGCACTGTTGACCTGAGCTAGGGGCCTGGGCTCCCCTCACGTCAAGCCCAGCCCCTTCACCCAGCCAGGCCAGGCCTCCCCTGCACACACTGGCTCGCTTACAGGTTTACTCAGCTCCCCCTGGGAAGGAGGGTGAACTTGGCAAGGACTCTGCCTTTAGGCATGGTGGGGAGACAGAACACCACAGGAAAACAGGTCCCACGGAGCAGAGAGGTATGTACCAAAAAAAAAGAGAGAGAAAGATGGCGTCGGTCCCTGGCCCAGCACCCAGGCCTCACGCAGGACACTGGGCCCTGCCCCAGGCTGAGGCTGCAGTAGGAAGAAACGGGAGAGAGGGCCAAGGGAGCGGGCGAGAAGGCGCACATGTGCCCAGCATAGCAGATGATGGGCACAGGGGAGGTCAATGCCAAGCAGTGGGGGCCTGGCAAGCCAGTGGGCAAGCTGCACTGCCATGGCATGGGGCTTCAACAGGGACAGAGAGAGAAGCTCACTGCACAGGAAGCACAGGGCAGGATAGGTGATCTCAGACAGGATGCCAGCTCAGTCGGGTGAGTTGGGGCACTGTCCATGTAACCAGCAGGTCCACGCTCAGCCTGAACAGTGAGACGGTGGAAGGAGGGCAGGACCAGAGGCAGGAGGGCAGCTAACCTAGCGGGAGGCCGAGCAGTCTGTGGGCCAGGTCCCGGGTGAACTGAGTTGCCAGGCACGAGGGCCCAAGTGGCTGGATAACAAAGGACCTGGCCACTGGATGCGGGAGAAGAGGGGGAGGGCAGAGCTTACAGGAAGAGAAGCTGGCTCCATCCCGAACCGCAGCCTTGTTCACAAAGTTACATGTTAGGCAGAGAACAACCACACACTCCAGAATATTCTGTGCTGTTAGCATTCACTAGGCAGGGGGCGGAGAGCATGACCCCCAAGCAGTGTCCTAACATAGAATGTGCCCACGCACCAGGCCCCTGCTCGCCGGGGAACACAGGGCGGGGTGGTGTTTAGCAGTGTGGGTCAGAGGCCGCCCCTCCGCCCGGCTCACACGACTCCCCAGGTGTTGCTGGTTGTGTGAGAGCAGCCTTGGGTGCCGGGCCAGGTGCTCACCGCTGCTCGCGCCCTCTGTCCACTGTTGTGCCTCTGCAGGTGTCCCAACAAGCTAAATCCTTTGATTCACCATGTAGATAGCAAACATCATGGAAGAGCATTGCTCTCTCTTAACCCAAGATGATGAGACAGAGGCCAAACTGCCACCTGCTGTCCACTCCCCAAATACTTGCAAGGGCCTGGAAGTGGACGGTCAGAGCCTGGAGCTGGGGGTCAGCCACCAGAGCCGCCCGGGGCCGCCCACGCTAGCTGGGATCGGGCATAGGAATTGAACCCAGGCCCTCTGATGAGGGGAGTCTCATTTGACACCTCAGCTGCTCCACCAAATGCTCACCCCTCCCCACCATCTCCTAAATTCATACAACATCTTGTCAAGGAATTCAGCCTTTTATGTATTCTTTCTGAGTTCTTGGCCAGGAAGGCCTTTGCCCAGTCCAAGATTAAAAACTGCCTTCTGGACCCAGCACCATGGCCTAGCAGCTAAAGTCCTTGCCTTGAACGCACCGGGATCCCATATGGGTGCCGGTTCAAATCCTGGCAGCTCCACTTCCCATCCAGTTCCCTGCTTGTGGCCTGGGAAAGCAGTCGAGGACAGCCCAAAACCTTGGGACCCTGCACCCACGTGGGAGACCCGGAAGAGGTTCCTGGCTCCTGGCTTCGGATCGGCACAGCACTTGCCGTTGTGGTCACTTGGGGAGTGAATCATCGGACAGAAGATCTTCCTCTCTGTCTCTCCTCCTCTCTGTATATCTGATTTTGTAATAAAAAAATAAATAAATCCTTAAAAAAATAAATAAACTGCCTTCTGCTTTCTTGTAAGAATTTATTTGTACATGAAAAGTATCTTTCAGCCACGTGGACACTCTGCAATGAGACATGGTAAATCTTTAAAAGCTGAGTGAGGGCCTGGGGCAACAGCTTAGTGGCTAAATCCTGGCCTTGCATCTGCCAGGATACCACATGGGAGCTGGTTCAACTCCCAGCTGCTCCAATTCCCATCCAGCTCCCTGGTTGTGGCCTGGGAAAGCAGAGGAGGACGGCCCAAAGCCTTGGGACCCTGCACCCATGTGGGAGGCCTGGAGCAAGCTCCTGGCTCCTAGCTTCAAATCGGCTCAGCTTCAGCTTGGAGAGTGAACCATCAGATGAAAGAGCTCTGTCTCTCCTTCTCTCTGTAAATCTGACTTTCTGATAATATATCGTAGCCTTTGTTTCCTTGTGTGCCTTTTGGCACGCTGGCTGATCAGCGTGGATCACTTTTCAAAGCCAGGTGTCCCCGTTTTGCTGGGCCATGGCGTGTCACTGCATCCCAGGGAGGGGGCTGGGAGGGGAGTCCTCCACACAGAGGGAGGCTGGCAGTGGTCCCACACTCCTCCTGGAACCCCTCAACCACACACACACAGCCCCAAAGCCCCCACTCCTCTGCATTTTCATCAGCCAGCAGGGACAGCCCAGAGAGCACTGCGTTCCATTTCAACTGGTGTGTTCGACTGGTGTGACCCACTTTGAGACGCCTCCCCCGGGTTTCCTGTTTGCAGCCTGCCCCACTTCCGACCGCAACTCAGAGGAACCCCAGTTTCTTCAGGCAGGGCCGACCTCATCCCCGCCCTGACCCCTGGGTATCTGGTCCTTATCTTGGGCCCTTGGGCACTTAGCACTTTCTGAGTCTGGTCACCCATGAGGACAATGACCAAGCTCCCTGCTGTGTGTCACGTGTCCTGCTTCTGAGGCTCAAAATAGAAGAACATGAAGGAGGGGCCAGCCCCCCTAGGCCTGCCTCTCCGGAGCGGCCAGACTTTCTCCCCCTGGTCCTCCCCTCCCACTGCTCTGGCCCAGTCCATCCAGGTGGATCTAGACACGCATGGACAGTGGCAAAGGCCAGGGATGCACCTAATCCCACACTAATGTCCCATGAACTGCTTCACCCCGCCGACTAGTGGAGTCCTAACTAGGGCCCTTTCCTCATGGGGGGGCGGCTGAAGGGGTCTGCTGCGCTTGTCAGTGGAGGGGGCGCTTCCAGACCTCGCCAGAGGGGCCTTCCATCTCCTGGTCCACCAGGTGAGCAGCTCTGAATGAACCCACACTAAGATGCCTTCCTGTTGGGAAGACTGGAGCGACACCCAGCCTTTCCGACAGAGACGTAAGCCTCTGGCTTCCAGCAAAAACAAGCACGCAGACACCACCGCCCCCACCACCGGCTGGGTGACCGGAAATCGTAACAGCAGCTGGCCAAGGACGTCGACGCTGACAGCAGGCCTCACGTGACTTCCCAGCTGGACATCCACGGGGTGGGGGTGTCTGCGCGGCCTCCACGTGGCTGCCCTACCCTGGGGTCACACAGTAGCTGCAGTCAGATGGACACAGGAGGCCAACTTCCTGGAGCTCAGTGTGCCCCCAGAATGCAAAGGCAAACAGGCTGAGGTGTTCCAAAACGGGGGTACCCCCAGGAGCTCTACCCCCTGAGGTCCCCATGAAGTGGGAGCCTGAGGAGGGGCTGAGGAGGAGCTGAGGTGCGATGCTTTTCCCAAAGTCAACATCGGGAAAGGTCGAGGAACACAGAAGGGCTCGGGTGCCCTGGGACACAATGCCACGGTGACCTCCAGGCCAGACACCGGGGCTGGCCCTTGACCTCGGTCCCACACCCCCTCACCTCACCCACAAAGCCTCACAGTGGAGCATGAGAGCCCACAGGCATCCCTAACCCCCGTGTCCACCACTGACCCTGCTCCCCGACACCGGACACCCTCTCCGGAAGGAGCAGTGTCGGGAGACAGTCACCTGGTGCCCACCACTGCCAGGGGCCTCACTGCCCAGTCCCCCCTCCCTCTCCGTGCTCCTCACAGGGTCCTTGTTGCCATTCAGTCACAACAAAAGCGGGTTCCCGCCTCACCCTCGAAGGCCAGGGGAGCCCCGGTCCCACTGCCCTCCCCCAGCTGCTGCCAGGCTGACCCTCTGGTGGCCTCGGGCCTGGGCAGCTGCACCCGACTGCCTCACACAGCCACCTGCAGACACCTGGTGCTCCTCCGGACGCCGAGGGTGTCAGGACAACCGGCTGCCCCCCAAATCACGCCGCTCCCAGCAGCGCACCCCACACGACGGCCAGCAGCCCTCACCGGCGGCGGGGACACCTTAAGGGCGGCTGCCCAGGGGCTGGGAATCGGGGCTGTTCACTGTCAGGTCTCGTCCAGCTGGCGCCACAGACCACCGGCCTCCATCCCGCCAGGGACTGCGGACCGCCGGGTCCCTCGGCTCCTGCGCGGCCTCGGCGCTGCCCTGCTGGCCTCCTCCTCGTCCCGGCCGCGCAGACCCGGCCGGCCCCGGCTCCCAGCCTCCTCCTCCCCCGACCCGGCCCCCTCCCGGCTCCCCGGCCCAGGCCCAGCGCTCCCGCGGCGCAGGCCGAGCCCCGGGCGGCCGCTTCACTCACCCGCACCGGGGGCGCCGGCTCCGGGCCCCGGGCTCCGCCACCAGCGCAGCAGCGCCCGCCCGGGCTCCAGGCTCACGGCGCAGCGCTGCCGCTTCACCCACAGCACCGAGCGCAGCGGCTCCGCCGCCCCCATCGCCCCCATGCCGCCGGGCGGGGGGCGCGCGGACGCCGGGGGGCGCGGGACCGTTAGCGGCCCCTGCACTCGGCCGGGCGCGGGAGCGGCAGGCGGGAGGCGGCGCTGCGTCACAGCGCGCAGGGCGCGGCGGGGAGGGGGCCGGCGCCGCGGGCCGAGCCTGGTGGGCGGGGGCCGAGGGGGCTGCCCGAGGCACTGGGGGGGCAGAGAAGGAGGGGAGTGGGGGTGAAGGAGAGGGGAAGTCAGAGAGGGGCAGGATGGGGGTGCGCCGCGCGGGAGTGGGGGTATGCCAGCGCGTCCTGCGGTGCTCTCTGGGCCAGTCTGCAGTCCCTAACTGGGCACTAGAGTCCCCAGGGTGGCCGTCCTCTCCCCCGGGTTAAGGTCAGGTCCTGAGCAGAGAGGACACTGGCTGTTCAAGTGTTTGGCTTAGGCCAGGCCCACCCCCCACCCCAGGCTTCCGGGCTTCTCCCGATGGGCAGGGCCAGGCTGGGAAGGCTACGGGCCTGAAGGGGTGGGGGTGCTGCTGGGGCGTGGCCAGCAATCAGCAGGGCCCCAGTAGGGAAGGAAGGAGCCCACCCCCAAAGCAGGCCCAAGGACCCCGAGTTCTGTGGCTCGTTCAGCACCCCTCAGGGAGGCCGCTGGACCACCCTGCTAGGGTCCCTCTATAAGCACCCAGGTCTGCCCTTAGAGCCTGCCTGTCTCCTTATGTGTGGGCACCTGGGGACCAGGGACATCCACTGCCATCCCTCAGTTCCCAGGTAGGTGACCCCCAAGAGAAAGGGACCGCAGGAGGACGGTGCCCAGAGGCACCCTAAGGTTCAGCTGCAGCCCTGGCCCCAGAGCTGCCCGTGCTCTCTCTGGCACTCCCTGCCCAGTCCTGCCCCCGCAGGCAGAGGTGGGGCCCCTGGCATACACATGGCCTCGCTGCTGTGCCTGGTACCAGGTGGCTACACATACAGGTCTTATCCTGCCAGCTCTGTGACTGTCCAGAGGGTGGGGACGGCCTTGAATCACTGCCCCAGGAGCCCAGCCCCCGGATGCCTGGAGGCCCAGCACAGTCCCGCCGCAGCCCTCCCCTGAGCAGGCCGGGCTTGATCTCCAGGCTGTGGGCAGCCAGCAGGAGCCCTGCCCTGCTTTGTCCCTCCCATGCCCGTGGAAGCTAGGAGCTGCGCGCCTGGGCAAGGAATGCATAATGCTACCACTGCTGTGTGTGCCCACTGTGAGCAGGCGTGGGCAGCCCAGGCACAAGGGCCCAGAAATGCCAGGGGTTGATGAGGGCCTTCGCTCTGGCCTGCCTGTGGCCTGGCTAGCTGGCCGCTGCCTCCCAGGGCTCCCCAGGTCCTGTCGCCAGAATGGGTGGGCCCACAGAGGGCTCGGTTTCCTCCTCTGGAGGCTTCAGTGGGGGACAGGCTAGCGCTAGTGGTACGCAAGGACGCCCCACATCCACCCACCAGCCCAGCTGTAGACCTCAGTGTCTGTAGCTGAACTGGCTCCCCCAGAATTTACAGGTGGAAGCCCTAAGACCCAGAACCCCCTCCCAAAAGTTATGATGCTTGGACATAGAGCCTTGACAGGGGATGACAGGAGGAGGCCTCAGGCTGGGCCTTCCACCAGGACGCCAACGCAGGTGCCTAGGGGATGACAGGAGGAGGCCTCAGGCTGGGCCTTCCACCAGGACGCCAACGCAGGTGCCTAGGGGATGACAGGAGGAGGCCTCAGGCTGGGTCTTCCACCAGGACACCAACGCAGGTGCCTAGGGACACAGAGCCACGACCCTGCCCAGTGGCCTGCAAGCCCCACAGGGAGGCAGCCCAGCCACTCAGAGACCTTGGACTTCAGCCCCTGGGAGCAGCAGACACTTCTGTGGCTGAAAGCTGCTGGTCTGCTCTGGGACAGCTGGGCCAGGCCCTGGCCCCCGTGCGGTCCCTGCTTGGGCTCAGAGGAGATAGCACCTTATTGGAGGCCACATTAATTCGTAAAGATTTGTTGTACTTATTTCAAAGTTACAGAGAGGGAGGGAGAGAGAGACAGAGAAATATCTTCCATATACTGAAAAGAGTAGGTCAGAGAACCAGAGAATGGTCCTTGCAGGTGCTGTGGGTGTCAGGTCCCTGCTGGCGACCAGGGCACTGTGGGCAGGTAAGGCCAAGCAGCCTGTGGCATGGATGGTCTAGGGGGCAGCCACTCAGGGCTGTTAGGCAGCAATGGATGGGTCTAGATTTTGCTGTTGCAGGCGAGGCCTCAGCACAGCTGGCTGCTACCCTATACAGGCTGCCAGTGTGGAGCCTGCAGGCGGGCCATGTGTGGGTTTACCCAGAATGAGGGTAGGCTCTGCCTGGCCTCTGCCCCTGTGGTGTGCCCAGCCTGCAGCCTGAGGCTGCTCCCCAGTGAGCTGACCACTCGGACCTACCTGTCCAGACAGCCTGTCTGGCAGCAGCCAGCACCCACTACCACGAGCATGCTGACTCCGTTCTACAGGGGCTGCTGTACTGTCATGTCCCGGCCAGGCCCATCCACTGCTAGACCAACCATGCCGCAGGCCCCTCGGCCTCAGCTGCCCACAGAGCCCTGGTCGCCAGCAGGGACCTGGCGCCCACGGAATCTGCTAGGAATGCTCCCTGGGGTCTTCGACTCACTCCTTTCCCTTCTTCCTGGAGGCTCTGGCCTCGTGTGACAGTCCTACCTGCCTGATGACACAAAAGCACTGGAGTGCTGCCGGGTGGGGGTGGGAGGACCGGCAGCAGGTGCACACTGGCTGCAGGGACAGCCTCCTGGCCTCCGGAGCTACTGTCCCGTCAAGGCTGACTGCCCGGGACCAATGCCCGGGGCCCAAAGGGGCCCCTAAGCTGACAGTGGACAACACACACATCCCTGTCCATGTGACCCATGCACTCCTAGAAGGGGTTATCACTAGCTCTGTTGTACGAACGGAGAGGCAGAGACCCAGGCAGTGGAAGCGGGCTGCTCCAGATACACAGAAAGGCTGGTGAGTGAGGGCCCCTGCCCCCTGCCCGCTTCCTGCCCTGGGCCGAGGGCGCTGCCTGCCTGCAGCAAGTTCTGAATGGAGACATGAGAAGCTGGCACAAACCCCTGCTGCACCCCAGTGGGTCTCTGTTTCCTGGGTACTTCTCAGGCCAGTGTGCTCTGCCCTGGACAGCACACAGGGCTGTCCTCCTGAGCTGCAGGTACACAAAGGCAGTGCTGCCCCATCCAGCCTGCCCGCTGGGACAGCTCAGGACTGGGGGTGCGTGGGGGGCTGGGAATTGGGGCTGCTGCTCTCCCACACGGGGTGCCACCGCTGTGCAGAGGTTTGGTCTGCAGCCTGCGGGTCCCCCAGTTGGGTCAGGGTAGCCCCTGGAGTTTGACACAGGCAAGAGGTGGTCTTTGCTTTAGCTTGCATAGCCTCCATGTTACTCCATAGGTGATTCCTGGGAGCCAGAGGTCCCGCCAGCTAAGTGAGGGCAGGGGGCAGGTGGGGAGCCAGCCCCTTGCCCACCTCCAGGTTTCCTATGCAGACAGGGGCCTGAGAGCAGACCAGGCTGCTGAAGGAGAGGGGGTTCTGCCTGTCCCTGCCACTGGAGGGAGACTCCACCAGAGGTGGTCAGCGGGGCTCTGAGAATGCCTGGAGCAGCCCCGAGGTAGCAGAGTTTGTGGAACTGGCCAGGGAACTGAGGACACCCCAGGGTGCCCAGGGGTTGCTAGTGCCCGCCTCCAGGCATCCTCCTTCTGGAAGGACTCCGTTAGTCCGATCTGCTTGGTGGAGGAGGTGCCTAAGGCTGAGTAGACGCTGCTCCCTCTGAGCCATTCAGTCACTGTTTCCACATCAACCACAGGGACACATTCACCAAACCCTCAGACAAGCAAAGCCAGATAAACACAGGAAGGAACCCCTCCCCCTCACCATTCACGGGGCCTGGGTGGGAGGAGCCAGCCAACTCCACCTGCCACATGGCCATTCCTGGGTGGAGGTGACAATGTGACCTTGGCAGGCTTAGGGAACTTCATAAACCTCATTACCAGGACCTGCCCCAGACACAGGGCTCAGAGTTGTTAGGGTAATTGAGCACACCCACAACGGAACTCCTGCAAGGAGCCGTCACCCTGCCTCGGGCTCTCAGGCCCCGTCCCCCTCTCTCCCGGGGTTCCCAGAGCCTTCTCCTCCATCTGGCTCACCCTCCTCGCTGCCCACGTGGCACTGAAGTCCTGACTCCCAGGCATGCATCACCCCAACGTCTCCTGGTGTTGGTCGGGGTGTCCAGGAGCCCCTGAGGGCCGCGGCTCTGCTGCAGGGTCCTCCGTGGTCGTGTTGAAACATAGCAGCGATAGGGGCTGGCTACTGGGGGGAGTTGTGGACAGAAATGCAGCCTGTGGAGTATATTATTAATGAGGACTCTGAAAACAGAAGCTGGGAGCCGGGGAAAGCCGGGGTGCAGAAGCCTCTGTCCCCAGCCCGAAGCCACCGTGAGCGCCAGTCCAGGGGGAACAGCTGCTCGGATCTGGATCCTCATGTCGTGCCCATCGCTTCTGTGCTGCTCCTGTGTCCCAGAGCATGAAGACAGCATTGCCTTATCTTCATTCACATTTCCCCACCTGCTTGCCTGCTGCAGTGGGGCTGTGTCTGCCTGCACCCTCAACTCCCAACACACAGATGCGCACCCACGCCTCAGACACACAGCCCGTGATTCGTGACAGTGACTCCCGGGGCCTGCCGCGTGGCCGGGCTGAGTGACAGCTGGGGGCTGGTCAGCCTGTGTGCCACTCTCCTTCCCGTGAGCCCTCTAAGGGGCCCCGAGGTTGGCCTGGGAACCATCCTGCTGTGTTGTGCCCATTGAGCATCCAGTCTTTGCACTTGCAAGAGTCTGACTTTTTCCTCCAGGTGCCACATACCCTGTGCCAGAACAGCCTGAGACAGACAGCTCTGCTCCAGGTGCAGCCGAGCCGGCAGCGATGGGTCCGAACCACACGCAGCTGGTGAGGCTGGGAGGCGGCACGGCGACAGGTGTGTGAGGCCAGGGGCCTTATCTTTGTGC